GAATACACTCTGCCCTGGCACTTCCTAGAACCCGACCCAGCTGGAATCTCCTTGCACAGGGAGGGCACCGACTGCGGGAACATTCGCATTATTTTCCCAGGGGTAAAATTGGGGCTGGGGAAATCACTCAGTTCCTGTGCAGTCAGCAGGGAAAGTAATTGGGAACTATGTGGGCACTGGCACATGCAGATGTGTCCCCAGCCCAGGAGGGAGGACAAGCAGCTGCCATCTCAGGGGCCAGCTGTGGCTGGCAGGCAGGCTGTAGGGAGAAACGAGGCACTGGCACAGAACACGCAGCCCCGAGGGGCTCTGGCAGCATCCTTAAGGTCTGGTGCCGCCCAGCCCAGGCCCGGTCAGAAGGGCTGCGGAGGGCTGCCTTTAATAGACATGTCAGGGAGCTGGCAGGCCTAGTGTTTTCGCCCAAATGCACACTGGCTGCTTAAGGAATTCCCAAATCCCTTGCTGGAGCTTAGATTATGAAAAACACTTCTAGAGGAATCCGGAGACCTCCCTTGCCACTGTGCTCATCCGTGGGCAGCCAGTGCAGCCAAGTGTGGGGGAGGAGTGCCAGGGGAGCCCTGTGGCCAATCCTGATAAGTCCTGGGTCTGGAAGAGGAGCTGGGGGAAGGATTCTTGTGCAGAGAGATGGGGGAGGAACACTGGGACTGAGCCCAGGGCCTTGGAACTAAGCTACATCCCTAGAGCTTTTTCTTTTCCATTTTAAGACAAGATCTCACTAAGTTGCTAATTTGCCCAGGCCAGGCTTGAATTTTCATTGCTGTCTCAGTCTCCCAGAGGGCTGAGATTGTGGGTGTGTGCCACCACGCCCAGCTGGGGGAAAGATTCCTGATTGGCAAACATTTTGAGTGCCTACTATGTGCCAGGTGCCATGCTCAGCTCTGGGGGAAGAAAACCAGTTTCATGATCTAATAGGGAGACCACAGCACAAGCACAAAGTGGGTGGAAGCTGCCTAAGCTGCAGAAAACATGATCAGGATCTTTAGGGTCATGGTGACCTGCCACATCCTCTGCCACTCCCTCATTCTGCAGGCACTGTAATCCTTTCATCGTATTCTTGGCCAATGGGTTGACTGATTTAGTGAGGAAAGTTTAAAATTCCTTAAACTCTCCAGGGGTAACATTTTAGGCATTCTGACAGACCTCGGAGGAGATAATTGGGAAAGTGGTCCCCAGTGAGCCACCTGCTGTCCTGAGGTCAGGATACCTCTGAGCGGGGACTCATCACTAAGGTCATCAAGCCTCCTTGCTGCCTAGAGGTGGTGACAGGAGCCAGGGGTAGGGGGAAGGGGCCCCATCCCCAGTGAGAGCTCCATCCTCCTCATATTCCTAGGCATGCGTTTGCGGCAGTTCGATATGGATCACTGTTCGCTGTTGTGAGGCTAAACAAAACAAGGAACCTTTTGGCTAGGCAGAGGGACAAGATCTTTGTGGTTTTTTTTTTTTTAATTTTTTAATTTATTTGTGTGTGTGTGTGTGTGTGTGTGTGTGTGGCCAGCTCAGCCTACCAGGGGGCAGGGCTGGCTGGCATGTGGTGCTGGGGGATTGAACCGCGGTCCCTGTGTTTGCTAAGCTTGTTCCAAGTGGGTGCTTTAGACTACTGAGCCATCTCACCAGCCCCCGGGACAAGATCTTTGTGACTTCTTTTTTTTTTTTAACCTTGAGAGTTCGAGGAGCCAAGTGTCTGAAAAAGGCAACTTCAGGGCTATTTGAAATCAGCTAGGGCTAGGAAGATAGCTCAATGGTTTAAGCACCTGCCTGGCAAGCTCAGGGTTGGATCCCTGGTACTGCCGGAAACCAGACATGAGGGTGCACGCCTTTAATCCCAGAACTGGGGAGGCTGAGACCAGGAGGATCACTACAAATTTGAACTGTGTACTGAGACCCTGTATGCAATAAATTTACTTTTTTTACTTTTTAAAATTTATTTATTTATTTATTCAGTATAGGGTCTCACTACAGCAGTTCCAATTCATAGTGATCGGCCTGTTTCAGCCTCCCCAGTCCTGGGATTACAGGCGTGCACTACCACACCCAGTTTGAGAGATCAGCATGTGTACTCGGATCCCAGGCGTGGCACGCAGGACCTGGGATCGTACCAGGGTGCTTGTGCTAGTCGGGCAAGTGCTTGGACTGCTGAGCTATGTCCTCAGCCGTGTGCATGGGCAGGAGAGGCTGTGGGTGCCAGTGCCTGGAGGTGACTCATCCTCCACTTGTGCTCCGCACCTCCTGGCTACCCCATAAATGCAGGCCCACCATCTTCTGCCCAGAGCAACTGGAAGGTACCCAGGCCAAGGAGCCCCAGGGCCCCCACGGGCTTCCTCCGAAAGGTGCTTGGCTCAGAGGACCAGGCTCTTCACATCTGTGAACTCATGCTTCACCACCTTTGTGGACCTGCAGCATAGCCAGAGCCCACTGCAGCTGCAGGGCTGAGCCAGGAAGGTATGTAGCTCTGCCTTTTCACTCCTGGATGGCTAAAGGGACAGACACAAAGAGAAGTCTGGGGCTCAAGCCTGTCCTATCCAGGCTTTCCTCACTGGGTTTCCAGGAAGAGCATGGCAGGCAGTGCAGGAGACGTACATGAGGCCAGACCTCGGGGGGGTGTGATCTGCAAACACAAGCGTGTTCGCCTTTCTGGGCCCCCTTGCTCTCTCTAAAAGTCTGTATCTTGCATTCAATGACTTAGGTCTGTTCTAGATTTACCATGCTACAATTCCATAAGTAGCTGATTCAGGCAGGAGGGCACCTAGTCAAGTCACCAAGCAGCCATCGAGATTTGCCTAAGCCACGCGACAGTGGAACCGGTTTGGAAACCAAGTTTCATCTCCTCCAGCACCTCAGCCCAGCTAGCACCATGTGGATGGAGTGCCCGTGGAGGACGCTGGGACCCCAGCAGAAGAGTGCTTGCCTGGCACACACGTGGGAGTCCGGGGCTGAACCCCGGCACCATAACATCTGAAGCAGTTTCCAGTGGAGATGGGTCCAGCAGGAGATGGGATGGTAAACGACTGAAAACTGGATTCAGGGCAGACTGGACTCCAGCAGCTCAGCTGTTTACCGGCTATGTGACCCCAGGGAAAATTACCCAACCTTTCCCAGCTGGCAGTCTGGGGACTGGAATGGGATGATGCCTACAAAATCCTCCCTCCAGTGGGGCCTGTCCCAGGGGCAGCTCCTGGGGATAAGTGGTGGGTGTCCAGGACTTGATGGGTGGGCAGGAGGAGAAATGCCCGCTGCCAAGGTCTACGTTATCTTCGTCCTCTCTGCTGCCCTCCCAGCTTCTCCCAGAGAAGAGGAGAGGGAATCTCACTCGGGAGGACAGGTTCTGGTCAGAGAGAAAATCCCATTCTGAACCATCATGAAGCCGCTGGGCTATTCCTGGACCCTTGCGACCCCCCCACCCCACCCCCACCCCCCCGCCGCCTGTGTCGCCCTCTCCAGGAGCCCAGATGGGGCTGACGACCGGGTTCTGCGTCGCAGCGCAGCCGCTCTGTGCATCCCCGCTGGCGCTGAGCCACGCGCTACCAAGCTGGGGCTGGGAGGAAATTCAACCCACTCAGCAGTCCCTTTATTGGTGTTGACTTTATCTTTGGCTCCTCACCCCCTAACCCCCGCCTTTCTTTCTCCCTTCTTGCCCTGAATCAGCGATTCGAGCCCAGAGAAGCAGATCGGGCGCCCCCCGGGTCCCGTTGCCTCGGTGGCGCCCCCAAGCGGTCGGATCAGCCTCGCGCAGCGGGGACTCGCGCGCCAGGGCCTCTTTCTGGCCGAAGCACAGCGGGAAGGTCCATGGCGGCAGCACAGAGGTCACCTGCGGGCCTGTCTCCCTCAGCGGCGCATCCCCACGGCTAGAGTCGCAGCTCGCCGTCCCTGGATTAATGGCGCCTGCTTCACAAGTGCTTTCCACTTAACTCGTTTCATTCCCTCTGCCGTTCTGCGAGGAAGTCCTATTATTATCCCACATTGTTATTATCGGCAGCTAAACCAAGCAATGCTAATAAAATAACAGTAAAAGTATAGCAAACCAGTAATTTTTCAAGTGAGTATTAAGACTTGAAGGGAATATTTGAAAGGTTCCAGCCCACAAAAATACACACTTGGTTCTAAAAATCGAGGGGTCATGACTCCTTCATTTGAATTAATTGCTGTCCTCTCTGAGACTTGAGGCGACATTATACATGGGTATAAGTATGTACCACGTAGTGTTAGCGACATCGCTATATTAAACTTTTATCTATCGTTTTTCTGGGACACATTTATAATTTTTTTAAAAAGCTGTTGTTTATCTTGAAATTGCAGTTTAACTGGGTGCCTTGCTCAATCAGACAGTTGTTGTCCTGAGGGGTTTACGCCGAGACTCATCCTCTGAACTTGGATCCCAAGTTGGATCGCAGACGTGATGCACAAGGGTCAACTCCCCTAGAAATGACCTCTCTCCCCAGAACCTCCACAGAGCTGCAGCTGTCAGAAGCCCCAGGGAGCACCAACTCTGCATTCTTCCAGGGGCACCCAGGCTCTCACCTCTCCTCTCCTCCTCCAGTGCTGCAGGGAGTCCCCAGTTTCTAAGGCCCCCACACCTCGGGCCCACAGTGCTGCCCAATGCAGTGCTGGGGTTCCTGGTACAGGGCAGGGTAGGGCAGGCTTTCCAGCAGAGCCTTAGGCAAGACTTGCACAGCACGACCCTTACCGAGGCCCCTCTCCTCCCACCAAGGAGACAGAAGCATCCTCCCCTTCTCAGAGCCCACATGGTGGGGGATGGGAGAGGCTGGAATGCAGAGAAAGGACTTGCATCTAGAAACTTGATTCCACTCACAGCTGAATACTGCCCCAAGGGGTTCTCAGGCCCTTCCAGACCTAAGAAGCCTCCCTTTCATCATCTGTAAAATAGGTTCAACCTCCAGCTCAGGTCCTTACAGAGAGTCAGATGAGAGGATGGGAACACCTAAGGAATGAACTACAGACAAAACATGCAGACTCCAACATTCTCACTCCTTCACGCTGCCGTCCAACTCAGGGAACCACATGGGCAGTTTTTCCAACTGGTTAGGAACATCCATAGAGCCTTGGGTGACAATGGTCAAGGTGCACTTGGGCCACACACTGAACTTTCTGGAAACAAAGCCCTGGCTGTGTTTTCTGATCTGTTGCTGACTGAGAGGGCAGATACCTCAGGCTGTAGGAGTCTAGCTGATTATAGCTGTCAAATGTCCCCAAGGTGGCAGGTACCTTTTGGGCACAGGATTTAGGGAGACCTCATCCCTGTCTCTAGGACTCTACACTCTGTTCACTGGATCCCAGCTCTCTCAGCAACACAACTGTGAGTCCCTAGAGGTGCCATTGTGAACAGGAAGACACAAACTTCACCATGCCAAGCCCAGCATAGAACCTTGTCCTGGCCCTGCAGAAGTGTAGCAGGGGAATCAAGGTGCTGTTAGCTGAAAATCCCACAGGCAAGGCCTGCCTCCAGAAATCCCTTCACTGGGTCCATGTCAGTTGCATTTCAGCACTGGGAACAGGGAGAAAAGGACAGACACAGTCTCCCTGGCCTTCAGGAGCTCAGAGCCAGGTCCTTCAACGTCTGCCTGTCCTCATCCCCCTCCACAAACTTCCTGCCCAACTTTGGACAAGTAGCTTCCTCCCCGCAATCCACTGTTCAGATTCTCTGAGACACAGGATCTTCTTTCTTGCCCAAAGCCCCTCGCTACACAATCATATTCCATTCTCGTGCCATTGGGGGGGGGGTGAATAAGAGGCCAGATGGAAAGGTCATGAGGCCCTGTCCTGAATGACCATGATCTCATAGACCTGATTCTTTTTCCCCCCACATAGCACATGTTCCTGAAGGCCTGTGGGCCAGGCCTGGGCCAGGTGCTAGAATTCAGGAGTGAACAGAGTGACAAACCCTTGCCCCAGTGGGGTTTATAGTCTAGCAGAGAAGCAAAATGGGTAACAAGATATGGGATTGGGCTTTGCTGGGAGAAGTGAGGCTACTGTGGCATAAACCAAAGGTCCCAGCCCAGCCCAAAGGTAAGGGATCGGGATCAGAAAAGGGACCCAGAGAAGGGGCTAGATCTGAGGGCTGAAATAGTTCTGAGCAGGTAGAGGATTGTGAGGAATGCTGTGAGGTAGAGTAACAATGTTTTTGAAGGTCTCAGATTAAGGGTGAGACTCAGGAAGCTTGGAGACATGCTACATGAAAAGAAATCAGACATAAACAGCCACCTGTTGCATGGTTTCATTTATGAAAAATGTTCAGGATCTATAAAGTAGATCAGCGGTTGGCAGGATTAGGTGGGAGAATGACAGCGACTAATACCACAGGTACAGGTTTCTTTGGGCTACTAACAATAGTGTAGAATTAGATGGTGTTTGCACAATCTGTGACTTCTAAAAATCACTGAACTTAGGGCCAGCCATATAGCTCAGTGGACTAAGCGCTTGATTGGGTAAGAACACGGGCCAGAGTTCGATCCCTGGCTCCGCATGCCACGCTGGCCCTGCCCCCTAGGTGCACTGAGCCAGTGATGGAGTCCGGGCGTGGTGGCACGTGCCTATAATCCCAGCACTTGGGAGGCAGAAATTAGGAGGATCACTATGAGTCTGGACTGTGTAGTGAGACCTTGCCTCCCCCCAAAAAAAAGAAAAAAAGAAAGAAAACCTAAAAAAAAAAATAAATAAACAAATAAAAATCTAAATCAGGGGCCTGCCCATTAGCTCAGGTGTTTAAGTGCCAGTTGAAACAAAAATAAAAATCACTGAAGTTGACACTCAAGAAATAGTGAATTGTATATAAATTATATCTTGATTTGTTAACAGAGAGAGGTTCCAAGGCCCACTGAACAGCTGAACCATGCCCACTTGGGTTGAAGAGGAGAGCTGGGCCAGATGGGACCCCACAGGGCCACCTTAGGATTGGCTGGCCCTGAGGGTCCTGAAGACCAGTGCAAGGTTTTCAGCCGGCTAGTGACATGGTCAGATTTGCACTTGAGGAAGATCATTGTGGCTGCAATGCAGAGGTTACAGAGCAGAGGATCAGGGAAGAGTGGCCTCCACTGTCCAGACAAAGAATCATGCTGATTGGAACCAGTGGCAGTGAATGAGAAGAGCAGTAACTACAGGAGAGATGGGAGAAAGGACAGCACACAGTGACTCTGGCTACGGAAGGAAGGTGGGAGGAAGGAAGAGCTTAGGAGGACTGGGGCAGATGAGACTGGGGTGAGGGAGCTGGTGCAAATGGGCTTGGTGGCCACTTTTAGGGTGGGGATCCTGGAGCAGCGAAGAGCTTCTAAGTTCCATCATCTGGACTGGTTGAGTTTGAGGCAACCGCAAGTGACCTGGGGAGGCAGTGGGGGCCGAGAAATGGTGCTCAAACACAGGAGGAACCAGTGGGCCTTGGTCACTGAGGTCTTGAGAGTGAACAAGCTGCTCTGAAAGAGGGTGGAAGAGAGGGGAGAGGACTAGGCATAGCCCTGGGAATCCCCATCAATGAGAGACCCCAAGGTACAAAGCAGAAACCAGGAACAAATCAAGAGAGGGGGATCCATGGGGGCCATGGGAAGGAACTCTGGAGAAAACACCACTGGGTCAGGGAGATGGGGTTCAGGGAGAGGTGGGCTGCAGAGGCCCTGGGTAGGGTCCCATGCTGCAGCTGGACCAAAGGGGTGGAGTATATTGAGCAGGAAGAAGCAGAAACTAAATACTTAAAACAAGTTTGGGAAGGGGTAAGTGATCCAGGGGGGCTTGAAGAGAGACTGAACTGAGGCTGCTAAGGAAGTGAGTGGAGCCAAACTTTAGAGCCTGAAGTGCCTGAGCCTCAGGTGGGAGGAGGGGTGGGGATCTCTCATTCTAGCTAGAGGGCAGGGAAGATGTAAGGGAGCCATGAGTATGGGGGCTGTGGACCCAGAGATGAAGGAATTCTCACTTTGTATCTATTTTGTCACAGAAACAGGGGAAGAGGTCAAAACCTGAGGCATAGGGGGCCAGCAAGATAGTTCAGCAGACTAAAGCACTTGCTTAGGCAAGTTCAGGGACCGCAGTTCAATGCAGTTCAATCTCCAGGGCGGGCTGAGCAGGACATAGAGTCTGGCCAAAGTGGAATATGCCTGTAATCCCAGCACTAGCGAGGCTGAAAATAAGGGGGATCATTATGAGTCTGAGCTGTGTAGTGAGACCCTGAACAACCAAATACATTTAAAACAAAACAAAACAAAACTGAGGCACAGCACACAATTGGAGGGGCTAACCAAGAACATGACAAAACCTGCCCAGACAGCAGGTTTTGTAAATCTGCTGTTAAACATAATTATTAAAAATTAAACCACACTAAATCCACATACATATGCCCAACTGATTTGCTATGGTGGCATAAAAATAATTCAATAAAAGAATAGCCTTTTGGGGCTGGTGAGATGGCTCAGAGGTCTACAGCATCTACTTAGAACAAGTTTAGCAAAGCACAGGGACCGAGGTTCAATCCCCCAGCACCACATGCCAGCCAGCCCCGCCCCCTGGTGGGCTGAGCTGGCCACACACACACACACACACACACACACACACACAAATAAATAAATAAATAAAATTAAAAAAAAAAAAGAATAGCCTTTTGGGCCAGGGAGATGGCTCAGTAGAATAAGTGCTTCCCTGGCAAGCACAAGGGCCTGAGTTCAATCCCTGGATCTGAAAATAAATAAATAAATAGCCTTTTAACAAACACTAGGGTGATCAGACCTCATCAAAATCAGAACCTTTGGCTCTATGACCTTATTGAAAGAATAAGTTACAGACTGGGAGAAAGTACACAGGAACTGCATACCTGACAAGGATGAGTAGGTAGAATATATAAAGAACTCTAAAAATCCAGCATTGAGAAAACAAGCCATCCTATCAGAAATTGAACAAAAGACAGATCTTTCACTGCAAAGGTTATGTGGATGGCATGTAACACGTGAAAAGACATTCAGTACCTCGGTCGTTAAGGAACTGCACCATCAGGTACCATCCCACACTTACCAGAATGGCAAGAATAAGAAGTAATGGTAACACCAAATGCTGATGACGACATGGAAAAACTGGATTACTCACCCGTCTTTACTAGAAATGCAGAATGGGTAGTTACTGTGAAGAAGAGTCTAGAAGTTTCTTACAAAATTAAGCATGTGCTTACCACATCACCCAGCAACTGCATACTTTGACATTCTGACATTTAAAAGAATTGAAACCTATATTCACATGTAAAGACCTGTACATGAACATTCATAGGAAGTGCATGCTGCAGTGTACCTATACCATGGACTAACATTCAACAAGAAATAATGATGTCACTTATACAACATTCTTGAAATGGCACAATTATAGAAATGAAGAATAGATTTGTAAGGATGGAAAGAGGAAACAGGTAGGTGTTTGAGAGGCCACTGGCGGGATCCCTGAAATGCTCTGTACCTTGACCTTAGCAATGTCAATGTCTTAACTGCAATACTCTGTTACTGCTATCTGAGTGGTACCACTAGAAGAAACTGGCCAGAGGTACAGGTATCTCTTTGTATTATTATTTACAACTCTCTGTGAGGTACAATGATCTCAAAACTAAGAGTTTAATTAAAATACATTCAAAAGAGATTTAATACTGTATGATTCCATTTATTACACATAGTAGAAGTGACAGAATTATAGATGTGAACAGATTACTGGTTGGCACAGGGTGCTGGGTAGGTGGAAGGAAGTGGCTGTAGTTACAAACCTGCAGCAGGAGGGAGGCTGTGAGAGAATTCTGCTGCATCTTCACTGTGGTGCCTGCATGAATCTGCACATGAGATAAGAAGGCAGAGCAAGGTGAATGGATGGATGGATGATATTATTGTCAATTTCCTGATTGTGATATAAGATATAATCATTCGATGAAGGGTAATAGGGACATTTCTATCATTTCTTACAGCTGCATGTGGAAATAAAATTAAAACAAAATTGAATCATATAAAAATGTAAATAGCTGGGTGTTGTAGTGCACACCTGTAACCCCAGCACTTTAGGAAGCTGAGGCCACCAGTTCAAGGTCAACCTGTGCTACAAAGTGAGTTCAAGGCCAGCCTGAACTGCATAGTGAGAACCTGTTTCAAAAAAACTAAGTGAATATTATCATAAAATTAACCCTA